TAAACCAGGTTTTAAAGTGGACTACATAATTTTCGCTAGGCCTGAACAAGAAATGACCCAAAAGGATACAAACATATCTGAGGAGGTTTAGATGCCTGTTTAAGTAATTTTACAATCTCTCCAGGGCCCTGTTTGAACCCTCCTTAAGGTTAACTGTAAGATTCTGTGCAATGCTCTGAGTCACCCATGCTCCCATATGACAATTCTCTATATATAAATCAATCAATCAATCAATCAACGACTTTATTAATCCCAAAGGACAATTCAGTTCATGTATAAAAACATGATACAAAACTGTACACAGAAACTTGACAAACATGGTACTTTGTGTAGTAGTTTCATAAGTAATTCCGCCGTTTATGGATCGACTGTCACCAAATTTGGCACGTGGGTCAAGACCCTGCGCCAGATGCCGCAAAAAACATTTGGTGATGATCCGAGGTCTTTTGAGGTCACATGGGTCAATTGAAAGATCACGCCATTATAAAGGATAAGCAATTTTTCGCAATTTCTGAACCATTTGCGGGCTAAAATATTCACCCAATCATCACACAAGTTGGCACACACATAACCGGGGTGTTACATAACACTGGATGTTACAGCTTGAAACTGGTCAAGGTCACTTGAAGGTCAAGGTAACAAAGGTCAAATATCAATAAATATCAATAAATATCGAAGGATCAAGCTAGAGCAACAGGAGAGGTCTCAAAATCACAGAAAAATTATTATCTATTTATAATTCTATGCATTTGTATAGTAAAATATAAAGTTTTCGAGACAATCACTGATTATAACAGTTCCTTTCTCTTGTATACTGTTAAAATTCTAATAGGAACATAAATAATTTCCATTTCTTCTTTTTCTGGTGATACACAACAAACTAATCTACAGTCACACAACTAACATATACACAACTCATGAAAAATGACATTTTGGTTACACGCTAGTAAACACAGACATTCTCATGTGTGACCAATATCACACAAATGTTCATGGGCCTGTACAGACACACATTGCATTGTGAATATAACGATCATGTAATATGGGCTGGGCTCCTCATAAGCTGCTTCTGTGGTGATGAACTGCCCCCACCGATGCCTCATGGAGGACCAGGTTGCTATTTCTGACTGCGCTTGTTGAGCTATAAAGCCACCTGTAATTTCCTAAGTGTACAGTAGAGCTGTTTAATTTTATTCCAGACAGAGCAATGATTTATCCATAGAAACAAGCAGGTGACGGACCTCCCACCAAAAAGTTGCATATTGCACTAATAACTTCAGTTTATATACCTCAACACACTCAAAAGCACTTTACACTAATATTCCATCATATTACCACATGTCCTAAAACAAATTAGGATTAACCCTGACAGCCTTACTTAAGTTGAATAAAATGTAAAAACACGTTGTTGGTGGTGCTGATCCAGTGGCCTACAGGGTGGAGGAAACAGTGACTTTACAGAGGGCCAGTGTTAAGCAGAACAAGCACCACTCCAGAGTTCCGACCAGCTCCAAATGGCTTTTCCATATGGTCTGCACGGCTCTCAAATTCAAACTGACTTCAGCAAATTGCAAGGCCACAACATGCATACTTCATTTAGTTACGACTTGTACAGAATCCATCCACTGTACTTGTCCAAACTATCTCACCTCATGTCACTCCAAAACCTTTTTCTCAGGGCTGCGGTCTCTGAAACGTGCGTTGTTCTGGATACCTTGTGCACATTTTTAAAAATCATTATCGTGTTTTATTTAACATAAAGTACATTTAAAAAAAAAAACACGCTGACCAAAATATGAAGATATGGACAAATCACAGTGTTTTGATCTGTAGCATTTTGGGGAGTTTTGGACTTCAGCTGTGCCAAGCTCCAAATAATGCTGTCACGATGCAAAAATGTTGAAACGAAGGAATTGACTCAATACTCTATACACAATGACGATAACACATGCTCCTGTTTAGTAATAGAATGTATTAATATTTTCTTACTAAAATAATAATATTTTCTTTATATTATCAGGAGATTTTAATATTTGTTCTATGCTCAAAATTACACTAAAGCTGTTCAGGAAAGTTCACATTTTGTCTTATTAATGTGATTTTTTACTTTTATCGATACCTACTCAAATGAGTATCTTGTTTTGACATTAGGTTTAGTATTGATTGTATGTGACAACACTCATGCCAGAAAAGGGCAGATACAAGCTGGTATTGCTAGTGGTTTTCGCAAATGAGGGGGGTAAAATAAATTAAAGTTCCTCTAAATTAAGTAAACTCTAAAAGTTCTGGGTTCTTCTGTGCGGCACTTGAAGTAGCTCGTGTACCACAGTCTGAGAAACACTCCTTTTACTGCTGCACAACTACATCATTTGAATCCGTGTCACATAATCCTGTTTCTAATAATAAGGCAGGATGATAACGGCAGATCTGGGAATATTAGGACATCCCATAAAAACGTGTCTGAGACGCCTCGTGCACACCACTCCTCACTGATCTGCACCCTTTACAAGTCCAGCTCTGCTGTTAAAACCAAGGTGCAGACAAACTAGCGCACGCTTCACTGAGATAACATGATGGAAGCTACACTCAGGGATAAGGGCTAGACCAGTGATTCTCAAACTATGGTGCACAGGTGTGTTCTGGGTCTTCAGCCAGTCTGGTTTTATTACTCATTTTGATCTGGCTCTGGCTTTTTCGTTTTTTTAATTAATTTTTCTCTTTTTTATTTACTCCTTCAGGTATTCAGATATAAATCAGTATATGATACATTAAAAAGGAAGGCTCTGGCTTTTTCCTAGTTTTGTTCTGCTTTAGACCTAGTACAAAGCTCTATCAACCAACTTTTCTCTTATAAATTAGTACATTTTACACAACTTCCAGTCAATGGACCTTGTTACTTAGCTTGAATTATAAACTTAATATTCAAAAATTCACAGTCACACTCTTAAGAAGACATACTGTGTTTGTGTCTGCTATGTAATTATAATCTATGACCCATGGATCATTATGTTAGAATTTGCACATTTTAAATCACACTATTCATCTAAAACGATTTAATAAAAGAAACAAGTACACAGACTTCAGTGTTAGAAAACTGCGGTGCCCAATGGGAGCAAATTATAAGCAATTAAAGATTGCTCATGCATGAATCACTTTAAATAAAACTTTGAGAGGTTAAATGAGAAGGGCAAACAACTATAATCTGTTTAAAAGCTCTGAAAAGTCGATTATGCATATTAGGTCTACTTTAAAAATATGTGTTCAAACATTACCACCAAGTGCCCAAATTGAAAATGTGTTTGTTAATGACTGAAGCAAACTTTGAGTTAGAAAAAGGAAGCCTGTCTGTAGTCAGTCGATATAAACGTTTTTCCATATCGTGTTTCCTCTCCCCGGAGCTGGAACACACTGCAGTCATATTCCATACTTTCCATCCCCTCTCTCCTCCTCTCTTCCTTCTCTCCGGCAGAGCCCTGGCACTGCTCTGTTAATGAGAGCGGAGCCGCGCAGACCCGTGGCTCCTGCAGGACCTCGTCAGCCCCCCCTCCCTCCCCTCCCTCCTGAGTGCCTTACCTTGTTCTAGGCCGACCTTCTGCTGTCTGGCACACCATAAAGCAGCCGGGACTATTGTTAATGTGCTGGAAAATCACCACGCTCCACTTTAACAGAAGTGATGTGATCATGACAAATGTGTGGAAAGAAAAGATTAAATCACTGCTTTTCCCAGGAACAGTTACGGAAGAACAATATGATTGATTTTAAAGACTGCAACATGGAATTTCAATGAAAACTGCCTGTAAAAATCGATGGAAATACGCCTCCAATGGGTCTATGATCTGGTTAACAAGATTTTTATATTCAAACTTCTAAAACACAAGATTCAAAATATTGTATCATCAAAAATAAACTTTGCAAATGATTTGGCAACGCATCCATCAAGTATCATCTCAGCCTGTACACTATTCTCCATGCAGAAGTGAAAGAAACAAGTTGTCATACTTCAAATTCAGGACAAAAAGAAGCATTTCACTTAAGATGAATTTATTCATTTAACAACAACTGTGTTACTCTTCAATTTTGCAAGCTGGCCAATACCCAGCAAACTTGGTATACTCATACTGATAGTTCACAGGGCACTCACTGCTCCTCATTATCTTGGTCTACATCAAGAGAGATATAATACTCTTCTTTCAACTCTCTGGCTACTACAATGTACTGTATTCTACACCACACAAATGAAGCACATCACCATGCACACATGAATGTTCCTAGACCTGCCAGCATTTCATCTGAAGGAACAGAGTCAGCATAAAGGCTTGCAGCCTGTCTCACCCTCTCCATTCAGGACAGTAATACATTGCAAAAGAAATTTTACAGCATTGTGGGACTTGCCTGTATTTGTATATTAATGCATGTCAATATAAAAAAAAAATATGTCAATAAATATTGGCTGCTGTATTGGCAGTAAAAATCATGTGACCATCCTACTGTGCTATGATGATATGATGTTCTCACGTTGTATGGAAGAGCTGGCACACTGCAGGACATCTGATTGTTAGGTCATGTGCACCTTCTGCTCTAGTGAACTTTTTTGATTGAATCCCAGCTCAGACAGTTACAGGAATGTCTCTCCCTCTTTTCACACAATTATTTCATAAACCTAGACAACAAAGCATAGAATATTTTAAAGCAGACCTATTCTGCAAAAATAACTTTCTATGTTGTAATTGTTTCCCCTTCTCATTTCCCCGCTCACTGTATGTAGACTGATTCACGCACGTCTCAGTAATCTTTAGAGATTTTCTGACGTGGAAGTCAGAAGTGTAATACCTCCTCTTTAAGTAAAAATGATGCAAGGACTTGGGTTGACATGTAAAGCAATAATGCTCTTATTAAAGTTGATTACCTGAGTGTTTTGGTGCACAGTTGTGTGTACAGTTGTGTGTACAATTGTGTGTACAGTTATGTGCACAGAGGGTGTGGGCTCAGATGGGACAGACCGTTGAGGAAGAGCTCCTCCTGCACAGCTCGTCTCGCAGCAGCAGAGAAACAGCGCCTCTTCAGCCAGTCACAGTCAAACACACTGGAGTGCTGGTCCTGCCACACCACTGACACCTGAGGGGAGAGGTGCATGTGGTCAGAGGCACATTAAAGGCCAGAATGTACAACAGCCAACATGTAATCATTTTACTAAAACCCAATTACCTTGTTCTGTTTTACTTTTAAATACAGGACAACACATAATCCTGAATCTTCTCATGCATTAAGACAAATGTAAGTATCAACCCACATTGCTGTGGAATTTTGCATTCCCTGCATAGTGTTAGCAAGGACACCTCCAGTTCATTGTTCACATTTCTCAGTAGTTATCTCAGTAGCTCTAGCATCATCCAGCTATTACAGAATATGTCCTTCTTTAACATTATCAGTTTCCTTGGTCAACTCTTATGCAGTACAAGTGGTATGCTATGTTTTTCTCATTTTATCTCAGCCAGCTTGTCTTTCCTTGTGTGGAAGCAGAGTCAGGCTTGAAGAGCCAATATTAACGTGCAGTGTTGAGTATTCAACTTCACTGGGCCCTGGACTGATAGTAAATAAATCCTTCTGGCTCGTCCTAAAGAGTCCTAGAGAGGCAGAGACTCTGCAGTCTAACACTTATTTTCCATAACACACATTAAAGGGAGCTCATTATTCCTGACTTGTTTGGGCAATTTTTTATGATGCCAAACACACCCATCTTTAACAGCCAATAAGCCTGTACACATCCATCTTCAACAGACAACACACATTTCTCCCATACAGCCACATAATTCATGAGCTTGGATTACTAATAGATGTCTACATACTGTACATTATAATAGCCTCAGATACTTATTCAAATCTGAATATAACCAAGTATTCATTTCCTAAACAGTAAAATGAAAGCTGAGCACACTGAAGTGCCAGTTATGACCATCCCGTGGATTGTAAAAGCCAGCCTAAGTGGTGCACGAGTATGTTAGGGAAGCCTATGAAATTTATTGGACATTTAAACAGTCACCTTGGGTGATAGTAAAACCTACACAACGTTTATGAATGAAAGTTGAGTCTGGGCACAGTCTGTACCAGGAAGGAAGCTCCACCTACCTACCATATGTCACACTGGTGCTCAAGCTTCTCCATTAACCTAAAACTGTCTACAGTAAGTAGCTCCAGCTAGGTACTCCTAAAGACTGGGGGACTGGAGGAATATATTTTGTTCAGACTATGGTGGTACAAATATGTTTAATATTATAAAGACTTTATCCTCATACAATTGTGGAGTATAAATGTTCCTTATGGCCTATATTTCATATTCAAGGCAAGGCAAGGCAAGGCAAGTTTATTTGTATAGCACAATTCGTACACAAAGTAATTCAAAGTGCTTTACAGAAATACATTAAAATCATAATAAAAACAAATCAAAACATAAATAATCATGAAGATTAAAATTAAAAAAGAGAGACATAAATTGGAGAGAAGAGTGCGGAATGAAAACCTTTCAGTTATATGCACAGTTAAACAGAAATGTTTTGAGTCTGGATTTAAACAGCGTCACAGAAGAGGCCTGTCTCACATGTTCAGGAAGACTGTTCCAGGTTTTAGCTGCATGAACCTGAAACGCTGACTCCCCTTGTTTAGTTCTGACTCTGGGCACCAGCAGGAGGCCGGTCCCTGAGGTCCTCAGAGTGCGAGATGGTTCATATGACACTAACATGTCACAGATGTACTTTGGTGCTCGGCCATGGAGAGACTTGTACACAAGTAGAGCTGCTTTAAAGTCTATTCTCTGAGGCACAGGAAGCCAGTGCAGAGACCTGAGCACAGGACTTATGTGCTCGTACTTCCTAGTTCGAGTAAGGACCCGAGCTGCAGCGTTCTGGATGTTCTGCAGCTGTCTCACAGCTCGTTTGGAGAGACCAGTGAGCAGACCATTACAGTAGTCTAATCTACTGGAGACAAACGCATGGATAAGTTTCTCCAAGTCTGCTTTAGACAGTAAACCTTTGATTTTTGCTATGTTTTTTAGATGGTAAAAGGCTGCAGATGTTATTGATTTAATGTGACTGTTAAAGTTCAAGTCTGAGTCCATTATTACCCCTAGATTTCTTGCCTGATTTGAAGGTTTTAGAGCGAGAGACTGGAGGTGACTGCTGACACTGTCCCTTTGTTTCTGTGGACCAAACACTATGACTTCAGTCTTGTCAGAGTTTAGCTGGAGAAAGTTGTTTTGCATCCACACACTGATCTGTTGGATGCAGTGACCAAGTGACTCCACTGGTCCATAGTCTCCTGCTGCCAGAGAGACGTAGATCTGAGTGTCATCTGCATAATTGTGGTACGACACGTTATTGCTGCTTATTAACTGGCCTAATGGCAGCATGTAGAGATTGAACAACAGGGGGCCCAGGATTGACCCCTGAGGCACCCCACAGGTCAGGGCCATGTCATCTGAGACACAGTTTCCAATTTCAACAAAATACTTCCTGTCTTCTAGATAGGACTTGAACCAGTTTAGTACAGTACCAGAGATGCCCACCCAGTCCTCTAGTCTCTGTAAGAGGATCCCATGATCGACAGTGTCAAAAGCAGCACTCAGATCTAACAGGATCAAGACTGAGACTTTGCCTGCATCAGTGTTCAGGCGGATGTCATTTGTCACCTTGATAAGAGCAGTCTCAGTGCTGTGGTGGGCTCTAAAACCTGACTGGAAAACATCAAAGGAGTTGTTCATTTGGAGAAAGTTCGTAAGCTGTTGGTAAACAGCTTTTTCAAGGACTTTGCCAAAAAACGGCAGATTTGAGATGGGTCGGAAATTGTTCAGTACTGTGGCATCAAGACTGCTCTTCTTTAGGAGAGGCTTAATGACCGCAGTTTTCAATGCGTTTGGGAATGTTCCAGATTGAAGTGACATGTTAACTATGTGAGTGAGTGGTGAAAGTAAACTGTTGAGGACAGACTTTAGAAATCTAGTGGGTAACATGTCCAGGCAGCAGGTAGATGAACTCAGACTGGTAACGATCTCTAAAACAGTTTTGTCAGTTACAGGTGCAAAGTGATTCAGCTCTAAGTGTCTCTGTGGCTGCATGCTTGTTATTTGTGTTGTGGAATTGATGGCATTTTTGATGCCCTGAACTTTGTCATTAAAGAAAACTGCAAACTCATTACATTTAGATGTGGAAATTAGTTCTAGTGGCAGTGGAGCTGGAGGGTTTGTTAATCTGTTCACTGTTGCAAACAGGACACGAGAGTTGTTACTGCAATTACCAATAATGTCCGAAAAATACTTCTCTCTTGTTTTACTCAAAGTGTAGTTGTACATATGCATTGTTCCTCTGTAAATCTCATAATGAACCTGGAGGTTTGACTTGCGCCATTTCAGGATAGCCCCTTTTTTATTAAGATACACTAACCTTTCAGCATTTTGACTGGGCACTATCACACGGTCATATGAATTGGGCTTTTTTTTTTTTTCATTATGTTTACATGTTCAGCACCTAGCAACCCCATCTATTCACCTTATTCGGGAAGTTGCCATTGGTCGTTATTATTTTAGTATTATTTTGTCAGTATTATTTTGCATGGGGCTGCCAATTGTGACAGCAGATAAGTTAAATATGGACTTCAAAAATGCTTTAAAGCCTCCCAGAGGATCGGTGTATTATGGACTTGTTGGAGAAGATGAACACTGAACATTTTACACAAATCAAATCGCCCAACTTTTTATCATGTATTAGCTGTGAAACTTTTCTCAATCTGTGCATTTAAATGAAAGGGATTCCCGCTTAAGTTTCACCACAATCAGCCAGTAGGTCGGTCAGTCCATAACTGACCCTCCACCCAATGCCACAGTGTTTGCCTGTGTGCTGTGTACCATGTACCTTGTTGTCAGAGGTGAGCTCCACAGAGTCCACCCCGATGTTCACGTCTAGGTCCCCCACGAGCAGCTTGCGGGCCAGAGCAGACTGGAGAGTGCATCTGGGGCACTGGCAGTTGTCCCGGAGCCATGTGAAAGGGTAAAGGCTGTGTCCGCCCTCCTCCCACTCCACCTGCAGGAGGCGCTCTGCGTGAAGGGCCCCGACGTAGCGCACACTCTGGCCTGGTTCGGCAAGAGAGGCAGAGCTGTGTGTGTGCTGGCCGTGCCTCTGCTGCATCCTGAAGGACACAGAGAGCTGAGGAGCTCCACCACGACCCCTCACACACTGCACAGCCAGGCTCGAGGAGCTCCTGCGAAGCGCGGGCAGGACAAAGCGACTGCATCTGCTCATCCACATGGTTCTGTGCTGGCGCTGTGAAAACAAACAGGGGCAGCTATGGGACAAGACTGAGAATAGAGCGGCAATTTATGATTATTGTAGTAGTAGACTAGTTAAGAATTTATTTGTATTGTATGTATGTAGTATGTAACTTTCTAGTTACATAAGTTTCTAGTCTATATTTAACAAAAATATAGACTAGGATAAAACATGTTTTTATTTTCACTTTGGTGTCCTTGGAATCCTTACGGTGAGCGGGCTTCCATCTACATCATTCTACAAACCTGACTCTAAGTTTGGCTTGGAGTAGGGCTGTTAGTTGTTTCCACTGAAATGTTTTTTTGGTTAGAATATTCCAGAGTATGGCATAAAACATATCTGCGATCGAGAATGTTCCGAAGTATGGACTTTCTATGTCCATGAAATCATGCAAGTGACATGCCAACTCTAAGAAAATTACTGTATCATTCAAAAAGGTTGAAATATGGTGAGGGAAGGCTTCTAGATAGAGAAAAAATGATGACTTGTATTGTTGATGAACATCAGAAAGTTCTTTTTTGAGATTTTGATTTAATAAGGCTGCTGGTTTGTTATAAAAAGGTCTGTTCTTATGTCTTTTAGAATCTGCATAGTCCAGATAATGGTTATGATTATCAAAATACCTAATAGGGAACGCTGTTTTTTAACCTACTAGCCCAAATACTGGAATTAATTTCAGACCAATAAACAAATCATGTTTCTTGGGCATGTAGACTACTATTTACAAACAGCACAAACTAACATAAATGTATCCTTAAAATGAAAAGAATGACATCTACTTGGTCTAAACGCTGGTGCTGTCCAATAACTACAATTACCCATATGTATTACAGTATATTTACATAAGTGGTTGGAGATGGCTTTTGACCTAAATAGATGGTGGGTGGATTAGGGCCAGTTGTTGTGTTGACACTGCAGAACATAGTGTGCTACATGTTTTTCTGGTTGTTAAGTTGTATTATTTAATCCAGTTATAAATCAGTCAACATAAGAGTGAATAGTTACCAAAAAGCACAACTGAGAATTGACGGGAAATGGGCAGAAAAAAAAAAAAAAAAAATCCAATTAAAATATTCTTCTAGTTTTACATCTTAAACAGGATGTTAGACAGATTTTACTTTCTATGGAGACATGCCACCTCCAGAAAGTACCATACCGTATCATCCAAATACTAGTCCCCCTGAAAAAATTTGAATATCATGAAAAAGTTGTCACTCATTTGAGAAAGTCAAACCCATATATTATATAGACTCATGACACTTAAGAGTCAAGTTTTCATGCCTTTATTTCTTGACATTTTAATGACTGTGGCTTACAGATAATGAAAGCCCAAAATTCAGAGTCTCAGAAAATTAGAATAGTGTGAAAAAGCTGAATATTGGGAAGTCATGGTGTCAAAGCCTAATCAGCTAATTAGCTCAAAACATCTACAAACATTTCCTGAACCTTTAAATGGTCTCTCAGTCTGGGCCAGTGGGCTACACAGGGAAAGCCACAAAAGGTCATTGCTAAAGAAGCTGGTTGTTCACAAAGTGGTGTATCCAAGCATATTCATAAAAACTTAAGTGGAAAAAAAAAAGAATGTGGTAGGAAAAGGTGCACCAGCCAAAGGGATGACCGCAGCCCTGAGAGGATTCTCAAACAAAATCCATTCAAGAATTTGGGTGGGCTTCATAAGGAGTGGACTGAGGCTGGAGTCAGTGCATCAAGAGCCACTATGCCCAGACGAACCTGTATGGGACTTATAACCATGTCAGAAGAGTCTGACCTGGGCTGTGGAGAAAAAGAACTGGACTGTTGCTCAGTGTTCCAAAGTCTCTTTTCAGATGAAAGCACATTTGCACATCTTTTGGAAATCAAGATCCCAGAGAGTGAAGGAGGAGTGGAGAGGCACAGAATTGGTTGGTCCACTGTGTTTTCTCAAGTCCACAAAGCCATCCACCAAGACACTTTATAACACTTCATGCTTCCTTCTGCTTATAAGTTGTATGGAGAAGCTGATTTCATTTTCCAGCAGGACTTGGCACCTGTCCACAAAGCCAAAGGTACCAAAAGATGGTTCAGTGACTATGGTGTTACTGTGCTTGATTGGCCTGAAAACTCTCCTGACCTGAACACATAGAGAATCTCTGTGATATTCTCAAGAGGAAGATGAGATACACCAAATCCAGCAATGCAAATTACCTGAAGGCTGATATCAAAGCAATCTATCAAAGCAATCAAAGCAGTGTCACAGAGTGATCGCCTCTATGCCAAATATGGAACTGACTGCATAGAAATGAACATACTTTTCAGAAACCTGACATTTCTGTTTGAAATATTGTTTTTAATTGATCTTATATCATATTCTAATTTTCTGAAACACTGAATTTTTGGTTATTTATTAGCAAAAAAAAAAAAAAAAAAAAAAAGAAACTCTTGAAATATTTCACTCTATGTGTCATGAGTCTATATAATATATGGGTTTAACTTTCTGAAATGAGAGACAAAACATTGCACTTTTTTATGATGGACTAGTAAGGGTTGGTTGCAATATGGTGAGGGAAAGCTTCTAGATAGAGAATAATTATGATTTGTATGGTCAAAGTAATTTTTTTGAGATTTTGATTTAATAAGGCAGTAGCCTTATTAAATCAAAATCATCTGTGTTTTTTTAGAATCTACATAGTCCAGATAATGGTTATGACTATCAAAGTACCTAACAGGGAATGCTCTTTTGTAGCCTGCTTGCCCAAATATTGGAATTCATTTCAGACCAATAAACAAGACATGTCTCTTGGGCATGTACCCTACTATTTACAGATAGTACAGACTAAAAAATTTAAAAAAGAATGGTATCTACTTGGTCTAAACTAGGGCTGGGTGTCACACATAGGCCACGGTTTGATACATATCCCAATACAGCACACTTTTAGTTCGATAAGATATATTTCAGATCGATATGATATGGTTCAATTATAAATAAAGGCTAAATCATGGCTGTAATACTGAAAGTCTGTTAAACCACCTCTTAAATCCTCAGGCAGGTCCCTGTGGCTGTTCCAAAGTCCAGGCTCCAGACTATGGGTGACCTTTTCAGTCCGGGTGCCTCGGCTTTGGAATGACCTGCCTGAGGAAATGAGACTCGCACCATCCGTATCATCTTTTAAATCACTTCTTAAAACCCATTTTTATCGGTGGGCCTTTCGTTTAACTAGTGCTGTAACAAAATAACAAATAACAAAATACTCTTGGCGATATATTGATACAGCAGCCCACAATATCAATAGTGTATCACATAACCCCTAACCTTTAAGTCTAAATGCTGGTACTGTCCAGTAACTACAATATACATATGTATTAAAGTATATCTACATAAGTGGTTGGAGATGGCCTTTGACCTAAATAGATGGTGGCTGGATGAGGAACAGTTGTTGTGATGAAACTGCAGAACATAGTGTGCTACAGGGCTTTCAGCTTGTTAAGTTTTATTAACTAATCCAGATACAATCAGTCAACCAAAGAGGGGATAATTACCAAAATGCACAACTGGGAAATGATGGGGAATGGGTACTACAAAAAAAAAAAAAAAAACATGCTCTTCTAGCTCTAGATGAAACCGGATGTTAGATAAGTGTTACACAAAATGCATGCAAATATGACGCCTTGAGTAAACAGGGCTATGTAAGTAATTGTTTAATCTCCAAAATTAATGCAAAAAACGTGTTATAGCGCAGATATGTCCTGTATAAACGCTCCCAAAAGATCCACTCCAAAACTAGGCCAATGAATGAATCGCAGAGGCTACAACTGTGTTTGACAACAACTGATGCTCAACGTGACGCTTTGCTAGTTAGCTTCAACTAGTTTGGGTTAGCTCCACTGTGGTAACCGCGTGAATTGGTGAGTAATAACTACATTTTTAGCTCGTACATTGAAAAGAAGCCGGCCGGGCACACGTACCTTAGCTGGTAAACAGAGAAGCTTCCTCGTTGTGTGCCAGGCTGTGCACGCCGGGTGAGGAGAGCGGCGTGTCTGAGGAAGTAGGGGAAAGGTGAACGGGACGGAACGCAGTAGCGAGCGGAACGGAACGCGAGCGGAACTGAACCGGAACCACAGTCGACGAGTGGAGCGGAGCGCAATGGAAGCGAAGCGGCGCGGCGCGGAGCGGAAGACGGGCAGGTGCACACACGCATAGGTCTACTAGAGTGATATCATAGATTGTATGCAGAAAATACTAGTCCACCGTCACAAATCATTAGAATATCATGACAAAGTTTTTTGTTACTCATTTCAGAAAGTCAAACCCACATATTACATAAACTCATGACACACCCATGAGTAAAATGTTTCAAGATTGTGGCTTACAGATAATGAAAAAACAAAATGCTGTGTCTCAGAAAATTTAAATAATGTGAAAAAGCAGAATCCTGGGAAGTGATGGTGTCACATTGTAATCAGCTAATGGACTGAAAACATATGAAAAGGTTTCCTGAGCCTTTAAATCAGGGGTGGCCATGGGGTCATATGAGAAATTGTGGAGGGTTGGGCCAAAATGCTTAACTAAATTCAGCATAATATTAATTGTTTTTCTTTATTAAAATAAATAAACAAATAAAAGAAAACAAATAAATAAATAGCAAAAAAAAAAAAAAAAAAGCAAAAGCATTGTTTTGACAAGCTGGTCAGACTGGTAAGACTTTATGTTATGACTAAGCAATGAAACACTGAGGTTGCCTTACAAAAAATGTCATAAAAAAAATATCTCTAAAACAAAAGCAATGCAGTTTTAGTTCATGCATGAGGTAAAATTGATAAAATATGTTTATTGTGTAATTCCAAATGAGTTTAAACAGGCCGGTCAGAGTCAATCAAAGGACCATACAATGCCCAGGTCTGATTTAAATGGTCTCTCAGTCTGGGTCAGCAGGCTACACAATCCTGGGGAAGTGGAACTGGACAGATGCCCAGAAGACATTCACTGACACCCTTCACAAGGAGAAAGCCACAAAAGGTCATTGCTAAAGAATCTGGTTGCTCACAGAGTGCTGTATCCAAGCACATTCATAAAAATTTGAGTGGAAGAAAAAAGTGTGGTAGGAAAAGGTGCACCAGCCAAAGGGACAACCAAAGCCTTCCCAAGCAAAGTCCATTCAGGAATAGCACAGACAAAGCCTATGAGGGACATGAGCCTATGGGACACAAGACCCACTGCCCAGGTCAGACATGAGTCTGATCTGGGCAGTGGAGCACAGAACCGGACTGTTGCTCAGTGGTCCAACATTCTCTTTTCAGATGAAAGTAAATGTTGTATATCTTTTGGAAATCAAGGTACCAGAGTCTAGAGGAAGAGGGGAGAGGCACTGAATCCATGTTGCTTGTCCAGTGTGAAGTTTTCACAGTCAGTGATGATTTGTGCTGTCATTTCATCTGCTGGTGTTGGTCCAGTGTATGTTTTGAAGTCCACAAAACACAACTCCAGGTATGTTTGTGATGATTATAACATGGCTTAAAGCTCAATTATGTGTAATATAAGACCTTTAAAGAGGGCGTAAGCTATTACACTTCTATATGTAGCTATTAATTGCTAACACTGTGTTGGGAAGTAACCTGAATACATGTACAGAGAATACATATTCAGAATACACATGTTGAGTAACTGTATTGTGGTACTACTCTTTCATTTGGTAGCATTTACAATACAGTTGCTTTCCTAAAAGTCAAAGGGATACTTTACAGTTGACTGATCGTGCAATTTAGGGTTCAAACTGCACAAAATTAGTGAGAAAAACAGAAAACACAGCTCTTGTGTGATTTGTGCTTCTGCAATTAGTGATAGTGAAAACAGTAAAACAAACATAAAGCTGTTTGTAATGTTATGTTGTGTTTTTTACACTATATTTTGAATTCAACTTGATGTAGGCTAAAAAGTATTCTAAGTACTCAGAATACAGTACTCTGATGACTGGACCATGTGCCGGAATACATAAAAACAAACAAATTTAATGCAGGTATTCAATATTCCATAGCCTAACTAAAGACATTTTCAAAATATTCTTCCCCTCACTGCTAGTGAATAAAAGTGTTTAGATCACCATGTTACCTTTTTTTTTTTTTTGAAAATGCTATATTCACTGAAAACAACGTATTAACGTGTTTTATAAGTTTCAGTGTCATTTTTGACGAGTCTGAGTCACTCCCCTTCAGAGCACACAATCAGCATGGATTCCGCCAATGAATAGTACACATCGCATCAGGTTTGTGAAGTTGTAGTGTATAGTTTTCTTCACATGCTTTTGTATGTTTATGGAATTATTCATGGAGAATTGTTGCGTGGGAAAGTGTCACATAGGCTTGTGGGTGGAGTCTTGGACAGGCTCATACTGTAAGGAAGGTCAGAATAGATGTGAGAGAGATCACTAAATTACTCAAACATGCATGGATAACATAAACAACACCTGCAGGCATGTTTTTGTTGAGAAAAAAGGGTTATAAAATGGTAGAACGCTCCATAATCCTCCCCAAAATTAAAATGTAGCCATAGACATGGACAACACTACTCAAAGTTCAAGTTACGTTTAGCAGCATTTTAGATTTTTTAGGCCTATAGGAAATGTGATGAATTAAACTGAAAGAAGTTGTTTTAAAACTTACAGTAATTTTCATATTCTCCCATAATGTGTAATGTGAGTTTGAAGGCAGAGAAAAAAAGCTGAGAGACAGCCGTGTTTTGGGTCAGTTTGGAATGGGGATTTACTCAGTTACTCTTGTGATTTTAAATTGAACTAATTGCAATTACAAGGCTAGAATTAATTCAATTCAAGTCAATTACAAGTACACTTTTGAAAATCTACTCAAAACAGTACAAATACTCCAAAGTTAGGCTACAGTAACATGAGTATTTGTAGTTACTTCCATCCCTGATTACATAAGAGTTCAATGTTCGCTTTCCAAACGCACAAACAAAGTGTGATTGAGCTTATCTTTTAATTGCAATTTTACTGTCAGACAAGATTTCTCTGGGCTTTTTAATAACAGAAGAGTCACTGTGTGCTGTTGTCTTTGCTACATGTTTGCTTTTCTGCTTTATTTTTGTTTTTAACACATGCAGCACACGTGTGGAAGCTCATATAAAGAAATGAGACTGCTCAAATCAGATAGCAGCATTCTTTTTGACTAATATTTTATTAAAGTAACAATTCTCTTACTTGAGTAAAAGTCTGGGTTACTCTTCCCACTGTGAGCAAATTTACAGATGACGATTTGAGCATTTGTGTCTCATTTGTGTGTCTGTCCTTTGAAAATACCAGATTTTGTGCAGTATTTAATGTTTTGTCCTTCAAATTACCCTAACTTTAAATTCTCAATCAGATGTTACATCCAGACAGTTACTCTTACTTGAGTAGCCTGGTACTTTTTACCCACCTCTGCATACGATTTAAAATTTTACCAATTACAACATTGCTAGAATTATACCCAATTACAGATATTACAAGTTACAAGGTTAAAAAAAAAAAAAAAAGAATGTACTTATTTAAGCTACAATAATGTGTTTGTAATTTGTTGTTTTCCTCAGCTGCATTTAGCTAATCGGATAATTCCAGAAATCCTGTATAAAAACATAGCTATTTAGTAAATTGTGGAGGTGAGTGCTAGATCAAAAAGCAAAACACATAAAAAGCAACAATGACAGTACAATTACCCTAAATGCACGTAACAACCATGCATTTCTTCTCGTAGCAGAAGAAAGTAGGATTTTGTCTTTCCCTAGGAGGTCTGACTGGATGACTGAGGGATTACACAGACACTTCCTCTTTTTTTCTCTTTTCCACCTATTATTATGTGATTTCCTCTTTCCATTCTGCTAATAGATTGCAGGCAGGCCATGCAGAGGGTTGTCTAGGCTGGATGCAAATGTGGACCATCCGGATGTGATAAACCCATTTTGACCTGAACCCATCCCAACGGCTAAGAATCATTTTAAGTGAAATTAAACACTAAATCCACCTTTTTTCGCTACTAAACTGTGTATATGGGGTTTTAATAGCATTATCAATTGATCATTTTTGGATACTTTTTGCAAACTAGATACATTTGCAGCTGTCTTCAGTGGCCTCTGCAATTTCAAGTAGTTGGTGACATCACACAAGACTGTCCTGAGTACAGCCAGGTGTTTCTGGTACAAACTCCTAACTGTGTGGGTACCTGTTAGACCAATCACACTGTTTCTTATAACACCTGACCCCACCCCTTCTCCTCTCTCACTCCTTTCTCTACTTTACAGGCTCTGCCCAATTTACCAGATAAATTTGAGAAGTAGTTGTGAGCAGATTTAAGTGTTTCTTTCCACTTTAAAGACCAGTGGGACATGTTTGATAAGATACACTGCACTGACTGAGACGTTGTGCCCGCACTGTTGGTACAATTTCTCATAATGTTTGCATTTTGGTTTGCTTTTGAGTTATGGATTAAAAAATATGAACAAAACTATCAATTTGAATATGTGCCTTTGTTTGAAATGTTTACATTTGTTCCCTCTCTGCTCTGATCAAATTTTATGATCGGCATTATCAGGTACTTCAGATTCTCAAAACCCAAGAACCAGCTTGCCTCGGTTAGTAGATGGTTGTGTATTGCTTGTGATTCTCAGTTTATACTTCAGTTCATTCCCCTGTATGTGTAGAAGCCTACTCAATATAGGTTGTTGCCTGAATTAACTGCCCCATTAACTGCAGGCCTATGTAAGATTTTAAATTCCATAAACACGACCCATGGAATTTAGGTCATAAGGTGACCTAAATTCTCCATGTATGAAGTAAACATGTTCTGATCAACTACAGCTTTTATTGTTTGAAATAGTGATTTAAACCCAAAATGTCTCTCTCTGATCTGAATGGTCATTACTAAACCCCAGCACCTGCAGCCAAACATGAATCAGTGCTAGTGCAGCTTTTGCAGCTCAGTGAGGGAATTCTGGAGGTTCTGAGCTTTCACATGAGGCCTGTCAATATGCTGAGAATGAGGAAAAACTAGTATGTGTCCGGTATCTGCAGGTTAAGGATCTGGCAATAAAGGTTCAGTTG